TCTTTGTAGCTGTCGATACCATTATTTGATAATATAAGACCATAATCAGTTGAATAAACATGGGATGTTATTGAATTTTCTTTTACAGGATAAATTGATTTTTAAATACTTGAATAGTGGGAACCTAGTATATTAGAGTATATCAGCATTCAACACCAGTTAGTTAAAATATACAACTTACACATCCTCATGTACTTATTGTCCGCTGTACTGTTGATCAATTACATCAATAATAGACTTAAGTCTTTTTATACTCTTTTTATACGTCTCATACTTCGCTTTTAATCCAATAAATAAATAAATGGACGCTTTAAGTGCGTTATGGGCTCTTATTATTCTCGTAGCATCTAAGTTACTAACCTTGAAAATATGCTTGAGATATGCTTTCTTTAAAAATGCAGCCTGATTAACTAATGCATCTCTTCTTGTGATATATAAATCAACATCTAGCATCAGCATCAAACACTTGTATAATTGAACGTATATTTCTGTTCTTGTTTTGTATTTAGTGCCATCATTGCCTTTATTATATCTCTCTTCCAATAAATCAATTACCTTTGGTAATCTGTGAGACATATGTTTTAACTTCTTTGTTGTACCGTCTTCAGTTGAATTATAGTTATTGTACCTGAAAATAAAAAATCGATATAATTTCTCAAATTCAGCGTAACTCACTTCAAGCGGATCACTTTTAAAGGCACAAGAGTCTATTTCAATCATTTCCACCTCTTTTTTATACGTATCCCTGTGTTGAATGTACTCCCTCTCCTTATTTCTTATCCTTTCGAAATAGATAGCAGCTTTCACAATAATTAAGTAGTTCATATGGGTTAATAATCAGCTACGCCGCAATATAATTCTTGATTTTTATAACTATCTTTCTCATAAAGAGCATAATCTTCTTGTACGAAGATATTAATAGATCTCTACAGGCAATCAAATATCTTTAACTCACAATATACCACCACAATCAGGCTGCTATAGAATAATGGGCGCATTCTGCAACATAGATAAACTATTTTCTGCCTGAATTCCTCTTTTAGTTCGTTACTAATATTCTCTAAGTGGTATTTTAAAATAGCATTGTACTAGCTGATGAGATAGTTCACCACGAAGAGTAATACAAAAACAAAGAATCAAAAATTCAATAGAAATGCGATATTTCTACGTTTTGAATAATTGTATTGAAGGAAAAGTGTTAAGTGACAATGTAAAACCATAAGGTTTGTATTATATTTTCAATATCAGATGGGTATAAAATAGCATTTTCTATCAACCCATGTTATTGCAATTGATCACACTAGTAAGGTGCTCATCATACTTCTCCAAATTGCTAAACGGAATCAATCAAATGGATGAATATTTCAAAGGAAGGCCAGAGGATCCTGAAGAATTGGTTCAGCATGCTCGTATATTGAATAATTTACTTACGAATGAAATAGTAAGAGCAGAAATCAACAAAACAAAAGCAATGTGCGATAACCTAGAAAGACATGCAGATGCAGGATATCCAAATGAAGAAAGAATTACAGAAGCAATGCAATTGAAAGAACAAAAAGAAACGCTGTTGAAGCAAATTGATGGAATTAACATATTCAACATATATACCGTAAGGCTGTTGCGTGGAGAAACGACAGATAGTGAAATTGCAGAGAACCTGAAGTACATCACTAATATTGA